CCCCTCTTCAACGAACGTCTTCGCGTCACCACGGTCCAATCAAGTCAGCCCCTTTGGACTTCTTTGCGGATGGCAATGACTTGATCATGCCTTCCTTCCTCTTCCTGCGGAGTTCCTTGACTTCGTCGTAGAGCCCGCTTCCTTGCTCCAACAACTCTTTGAATTGTTCCTCCAAAAGGTCCTCGGGCTTGACCTCGACTCGTCTCTTGGGGTCGAAGCCACTAAAGTCCCCGTTGGTCAATGCATCCGCCTCCCTGTTCTGAAGCCGAGGGAGCCAGTCCAGGCGTAGCTCCAGATCCTTGCAATGAAGCGTCCAGGCCAATTGCATCAATACGACGCATAAGGGGAACTTCGTCGTGAGGAATCTCGAGATCAGGTGACGGTTTCCCAGATTGTCCGTCCCTGCCGAGAGATGGTACTTCCTCGAGGCCCCCTGTTGTGGGGGAAACGCCACCACCGACGCCAATGTGCCTAAAAGTTCCAGAGAGGCTATGGCGCGGTAGGGCTCTCCTGACTCGAATACCCACGGTGCACTGGTCCTGTCCAGCTTCACCGAGAACCACCTGCACTTGCCTCGGTCTGGGGAATCGCTGCATGACCACCCTCCGAGCACAACTGTCTCTCCTTCGGCCTTGGCATCTGACCTGAAGGCGTGGTCCCCTTCATCTTCAATCCGCGGCCGGACCTTCGTACGGGCCACTTCCGCGACAAGTGTCCTCCTCAGGAACGTGAGGATCATCAGAACTGCTGCAGGCACCTGAAGCGTGTCGCAGTGGTCCACCGCCGTTACCCAGCTATAAAGTGGCCCTAGCAACGGCTTCAAGTGGGGGAACGCGGCCATCATAAAGGACAGTCTCCCCAATGCTGAACGAAATTCGTCCACCCTGACAACTTTGTTGGCCAACACCTTCGCCATCCAGTCGCGTGCCCACCTGAGCCTCCTCTCGGTCATGCCCAGTTCGCACCTTGCGATGTCAATCTGAAACCCCACCCACTCCGAGCGGGTTCCTCCCTTGCACTTCCCCCAACTAAAGGGTGTGCCTGCTACCAGTAGGAAGAGGAGCGTGGTCCACACGGCAGCGAGCCCTCCAAGGCCATGAGCAATGAACAAGAGGTCGTCAACGTAAATAAGCTGGCACACGTCACGCCTTCCCAGCAGCGATTGTGCGCACCTGCTCACCGCGGCAAACAGCCGGGTAAAGTGATAGGACGCTGACGTCACTCCAAACGTCCCCACAGTATTAAGCCAGATCTTCCGACTAGGCTCACCTGAATCGTCGACTCCAGTTCGGCACGCCTGGTACCCCCAGTCCTGCCTACGCACCAGGACCAGCCGATGAGCCCGGGCAACGTCAGCTGTCAACACAAAGGTGGCCGGGTGCAATGCTTGCAGTGCCATCTTGATCTCCATAGGGCCCGGATACCTGAGTTGGTCCTCCACCTTAATCTGGGAGTTGACCCCCACGTTGTGCGTAGCATCGTGGACCACGCGGAAGGTATTGTCAGCCTTCTCCAAGGCAGCCAGGGCCGCAATGCGGAGGCCGTCTCCATACTGCTCCCTGGCCTCCTCTTCATCAACCTCCACCATGGCCCCCAAGGCTTCCTCCTTCCGGAACTGCCCCTGAACCGCCACCGCATTCTCGGCAGCTGACAGGTAGTTTTCCTTGTCAGACGGCCAAGGTACCTCCTCATACTTTCTCCACTTTTCTTTGGCTTCAAATACCGCCGGCACCCGAGGCATCCCCTGCACCCCGAGCGGCACTCCAGTTCTGAAGGTGCCTGGGTCTGGCGAAAAGGCTTCGGCATCTGGGTCCTCGATGACTTTCAAGTGCTCTCCAATGGCTGCCAACAAGAATGGCTGCCTCGGCTCCACGGCGCTCAGCTCCGCTACTGCCAGGCCGGATTTCTCTGCTAGGCACTCCAGCCAGGCCTGCCTTGCTCTCTCGACCACCTCCTTCCGAAACGGAGGGTCATTACATTTCCCCAGCGCCAACCTGTATAGGTCCCTCCTCATCTCTTCCTCTGATGTAAGCTGGAGGAACTGCTCACCGAGCGAGACCATCGCAGAAACCTTTCTGAAGGCCGGCCTCTTGTTACCTTCCGAGCAAAGTCCTGCTCCATCATGATAGACCTTTCCCTCCAGGTTCCTCATGGCGTATGCCGCTCCTTGCCTTTTTTCGGCCTGCTTTGCCTCTTGGGTTTCCGCCAGTTTTGGCACCAAGTCCAAGGCTGGGTCCTCCGCCCTTCTTTCCCCTGCAGGCTCTGCGTCCATGTTGTTGGTGACCCCCTCCGCAGGCGTCAGAGCCTGATTGAACCAATGGAGAAACACAAGGTTCGCCAGCATCTGGTTCATCTCTATGGGGTATGCGGCTGTTGGGCCCGTTTTAAAACCACCGTTTGTATGTGCCAATGAGAGGTGGGTGTTCATGGCCACAAGCCCGTGGCAACGGACCCAAATAGTAAAGCTCTTTGTTGAGGACTGGCCATCCTGGATAGCCTAACTGCAGCAACCCATGAGCGTCGCTCAGCAGCCTTGTGGGCTTTGGATAGTCTGCACCGTATGTGCACTGATGGAATGCGATAGTTTCCATACGTCGCTTCTTTGCTGCCCGTCTGACTTCCTCCAACTGCCAGACGCTAGCGGGCACGCCGTTCCTTGAACGGCCCAAATCTTCTGGGTGCTCCCATACACAAACAGTGTATGGTGGAGCAATATCCAAGACCTCCACACACCTCAAGACCAATTTGCTACCTATCGCAGCTTTCTCCTTGAGTTCGCCTTTGAGCCACGGAAAACCGTGTGGGAAGTCTCTGGAGCGGACCGGCCGGGGTCCAATTTTGTTAGACCATACTGCCCGGGACCACGTGGAACATGGAGGTGACATGATGATGGCGTCGAAATCGCCTTGCTTTATCCTTTTTGCAATTTCTTCCCACTTTTCATCATCATTCAAATCATGGCCATCCCCCAAGATGAGGTCAACCTCAACCATTTCCAATTCGACTCCCTTGGCAATGCAAAGTTGTTGGATACAGCTGCGCACATCGCTTTTGCGAGGGGCCCCTGAGAAGAGGTACAGTACCCTGAAGCGCCTTTTAGGCTTGGGTGACACTTGCATTGGTGAAACAGACTTTACCTTCTCTCAGTCGCCAGCGCCTGCATTCGGCGTGGCTGCTTTGCTTGTGTCGTTGCCGCCTGATCTGCATGACGACTTGGGGTGATTTCCCAAGCACCGCTGACACTGATGGACGAAGTTGCAGTTCTTTGCGGCGCACTTGGCGTTGTTGTTGTACTTAAAGCACAACGGGCGACCATCAGGGGTCTTCACAAACAACTTCTTGGTGGGGCGAATGCCCCCTCCACGTCCCTTGCCTTTCCCTGCAGCCTTGCCGGCTGCCGGCGACGCAGGCCGCTGGGTTTGGCGAAACCCTCCTCCAAAGGAACTCGTTGCCACATTGGTGGCCACTGGAACTACGAAGTGGAGGTTCATCACCTCGGCGTCCTTGATGCCTCGCAGGATGCCTTCTTCGAGAGTGGCTACGTCTCCTTGCCTAACCCATTGGTAGGCCTTCTTCCTGATCTCTTGCTCGTAACTCAAGACAATCTCCCATTTCGGTTTTTGCTCTTGCGGGAGCGCTAGCCCAAACACATGCCGACCTAATATATGGTCCGACAATTGTCTAAACGCCTCGATCAGGTGCCCCTGGAGCCAAACTCTGTTGCGATGTTTGGTGCGGGCCATTTCCCAAGCAACCCCCAGCCTTCTGTGCCTCAATCGAAGCTCCTCTGGGGTCTTGGGCATTTGCACTGTGTTCCTGGCCGCCTTCATCTTAAATGTCCCTGTGGCTACATCCAAGTTGCCCTGCAAAAGGTCGACCTCTCCATCTTCCATTGAGGATACGTCCCGTAAATCTTCGACTCTTGGCATGTTGGTCTCGATGTCGTCCATCTTGGACGCAACAAGGTTCTTGGAGGGCACCTCGTAGTCCTTCAACCTGCCAATATGGGCTTCCAGCGCCTCCCTCAGCATGGCGTGCTCATTGATGGGCACTGGCCGGGGGATCATAGCAGTCCTGGCTTCAGCCCTGGACTCATCATTTGACCTTTGCTGGGTCCTGGCTGTTTCCCACGCACTGAGAACCAAGGCTGTGTATCGCCTTTCCGCATTGCTTGCGGTATGGTCCAGGCCTATCTCTGCCTTCAGTGCGGCCCTCACTTCTGTTCTGCTTTCATCTATGCCCGTGAACAACCTCAAAGAGGTGAAGCCTCTATGATAAAGTGCCGCTTGAACATCTTCAGGCACCCCGACTTCTGACAACAAGTATTTGAGGTCAGAGTCCGCCTGGTCCAAGGCCCGCTCCACCTCGTCATCCGTCAGCGCTAGTAGGGGCATGGCTGCACGGCCCGCCACCCGCGTGCGGATATCTGACTAGGGTCATGCAATGTAATGTGACTACATCACATTATAAGTTCCCAAGCCTGCCCTTAGGAAAGGTGACTGCATGGAGAAATGCAACATGATGCTTGGTTACTTCTCTGCCCGTGTTTCTCTTGACCCCACAGGTCTTCGGATGCACAAATTTCCCGTTGTGCTCCTTCCACATCATGACAGAGAAATCGCATCAATTCCCCATACTGCCCCTAGTAAATGCTTTACCGGGTCACGAGTACCACCCAAGCTACTCCATCGCTTGGACCGGGTTCACTGGACTAATGCTTAGTCCTTCCCAGTGTTGTCATAGTACTTTTCTTTGGGTTCCCTGGGTTTCCCTGGTCAATACTTAACCGCACCCTTCCCAATCATGCAAGCTATGCACATGACAACTCTACTCGCCATGAACCTTGTTTTCAACTCACTGCAGTTCAGTCCATGTCACTTGAGCTCGTTGTAGTAGAGCTGTCTTCATCTTCATGCGGGCCCTTGCCTTTCCAGCAGTGCCCACAAATCGAATTGAACTTCACGCCCTTCAAGCTGTTGTGGGGCTCATATGCTGAGAAGTTTTGTCCAGGTTTTGTCCCACATTTGCCCCAGATATGGAGCTTCCTATGTCGGCTCCTGACGTTGATGGACACGAAGAACTTTGCCTTCACATCAATGTCGTCCTCTTCACTGCCCATGTCGTCTGCCTGGACCCTCTCCTCCATGAGCTCTTGGATTGGCGGCAGGTCCTCCTGCGTTGGCTCAGGGACGTCCTGCCCCATTTCATCTGGCTTCACGCCGTCCGGCCTCCGTATAAGGCCCAGGAACGTCCCATCTGAACCAACTGGAGTCCAGACCTCAGGCATCTCCAATTTTTCCATTTGTCTCCTAATGGAGTCGGCGTCGTAGTTCGCCTTGGTGATGTGCTCCCTTACCTCCTCAAGTCCCGCGTGCCTCAAGTCCCACTCACGGTCCGACCTGAGTCTTTCCAGGAGGCATTGGATCCTTGCAACAATGCGCTGAGCTGATCGGACGTATTCGTCCCCGCTTTCTTTCACAGCCCATCGGCCCAGCATCTGGCGTTCTTCCCTGGGCACTCCGGACGCTGCAGCCAGCGACACTATCCAGTTTCTCTCGGAGTGCTCCGTCCAGAGCTTATACAACTCTGGGAGTAAGAGGGGCCCACGCCCAGTTACCCAACGACCTTCCTCATAGAAGACCTCCTTCAACTTGGAGTAGACGACCCTTGTGAGGACCACAAAGTCATCGTAGTTGGCTGGGCGCTTCTCTTCCAACCCTTCCAGTCCATAAGGGTACGTGGGAACCAAGTAGTCCCTCGGGTACCAATATTTCTCCTCGAGGATCTCCATGCCCGTCTTCAGCCAAGGCAATCCAGTGATGCTCACTTTGTTGCTGATCATGAAGGGGAGCAATTTGTTCCTCTTCCCTGGCCCGGACACCTTGGTTTTCCAGAACACTCCGTGTAGTCCAGCCTTTGTGAACCTCATGCTTCTCAATGAGATTCCCTGGAGATCATCCGTCCTGGAGGCTGTCCAGAGTTTCACCAACTTGCACCATGCTGCAAACCTGACAAAGGTGGCATTGGCCTCACTGACCACTAACATCTCCATGGATGCAATGACCTTGATTGGCAGCAAGGGCGCCTGCTTCTTGGCAGGTTTCTTGGTTTCCATCTCTTTGTTTGTCATATCTAATGCCCGTTTGAAGGTGACATCCATTGACACCATTGCATCTTTATCGATGCCACCTGCCTTCTCAAAAAAGGCCAGTGTAGTAGAAAAGGATTGCGGCACTGTGGGAGGCGCATCTGTCAATCTGAGCTCAACCAGGTAGTCAATGGCATGAGCCCTGCGCGATGGCCACCTGACCTGGTGAACTATCTCCAGCCAGGTCAAATATTTTTTCCATTCCCGCAGCCTCTTCCTCAAGGTTGAGGCTCTGTAGCCACCGATCGCTGTCCTCATGAACTCCTCGGGGTCGATGGACTCCTCTGCTCCTCTGAGTATTGGCAGGTCCAGGTTGTCCTTCAGCAACTCGACGACCCTTTCTGCCTCCTTGTGCCATTGTTGACGTTCCCGGGCCTTGACCGCTTCCACCTCGTCCTCTTCAAGACCTGGGTCAGTAGCTCTCCGCCTCTTCGGCAACATGATCCCCCCCGAGTGTTTTTCGAGCCAGCTCTTGGTGGGCATCTCACCCTCCATGAGCTCTCCAGTGCCCTCACGCCTCCTCATCTTTGTTTTTTCGGCCAAGTCCAAGGCCATCTGGACTCTCTCTCTTTGCCACCCTATTCCTCCTCAACCGGGCTGCTTTCTCCTCTGCCGCCAGCTGCAGGGCCTCGAGGACCGTCGCCTTGTCTCGGACCTCTGCCTCATTACATCCATGCTGCATCAAAAGGCCCATGCGGTCCTCGTCGGTGTCAGCCAGAAAGGCAAGGAGGTCAGCTGACACCTCACCATTCATCATGACCAACTCCTTGACCGTGACGGGCAGTGCAGCCCAATAGGTCTCCAGCTCCTCCGGCGTGACATGTTCCACTGCACATTGGATCCCTCGATCCAAATCAGCCAACCTCTGCCGGACCTGACGTTCGGCCTCAGCCTCTTGTCCATCTCCAAACAAATCTTCTGTAGGGGTGACGGGACCCAAGCTCTCACAGCCCCCACAACTGTCTCCATCCAAGGCTGGGGTTTCCTGATTCCGACTTCTCTCCGAAGCCGTCGCCATGGCATGCCATCTGGCTCTCAACCCCCTCCGGGGTGCCAAATCTTCCATAGCGTCACACGAAGTCCAATTGCATTGGACGATCTACCCCAAACCTTGCTTTGAAGGTACCCAGCTTGGGCCAGCAGTTGCTGGTCATCATCCCATTCGATGAGAAGATATCCTCTTCCAGTGGACCATGGTAATAGTATTGGTGATTCCAGCATGTTCCGGTGAGGAAACTTTAGGGTAATACGTACCCAAGAGGGAAATGCATTCCCGGATAAATCAAATAGGGAAATTCATTCCCCAAAGCATTCGTAAATAACCGACATGGGCCATGGGTTTGAATTGTTCCAAGTTTGGGTTTGTCATTTTTCGCCGCAGGGTGATAATCTGGAGGAAACACATTCCTCCGCAGCGAAGGTCGACGTACCGACCGTACGATGTAACGTAGGGAAATACTTTCCCCTAGTGGCGATGTTTCGAGTTTGGGATTGCTCTTTTGTTGCAAGGCGATCATTTACCTGGAGGAAACACATTCCTCCGCAGCGAAGGTCAACGCACCGACCGTACGATGTAACGTAGGGAAATACTTTCCCTGATGGCAGGAAGTGTTGCCAAATACTTTGGCAACATTCCGAGGCGGAGCTCCGTCGTTGGCTGTCCCACTTCGATGGACATGTCCACCCCGCAAGTAGCAATCGTCCAGCCCAGTATTGGATTCCTGAACACGAAATACTACTCCAATGGTTCCCCTACGGAGGATACGGAAGACTGCCTTGGCCGAATCACTGTCGGACTCACCCGCTCCAAATCCTTGACCCTGTTGGTCTCCCCGTTGGACATGATGGGGCTTATGGGCATGGCTCGTGGCCTTCGAAGAGGGGAGACGACATGGAAATGGCCTGATTTCGATGCCAACCCAGAACAGGAGAATCTTGCACAGATGAGTAGATGGTCGCTGAATTCAACACCCGCATGGGAATTCCCGCCCCTCGCAATCGCCAACCAATACCAGGACCAGCAAACCAACAAGGTGAAGCGAGCGAGATACCGTCTGATATTGGTTCGAGGGTCAGATCTTGGCTGGCTGAACAGAGATCGCCTCCAAGAAGTCAAGACGGCCTAGCAGCTCAACATAAATGGATTCCTGTTCAGAATCTCCCGTTCCCGGAAGTCGTCCTGTATGCCTATGCGGCTGATCGCACACCCTTTCCCACATATGTATGCCTGCCTTCAGGATTGTACAAGGCACGTACTGGGCAAGTTGTGGCGCAAACCGGCCCAGATCAGGAAATCCTGCCTTTGTCAGGTATCTACTTCTTTGATGGATGGCGGGTACACCCAACGCTACCAATCCCCGGCCACCTGCCACGCACTAAAGAAGCGCCAGTCCAAGATATCGCCCTGACTGCACCTGCACCTGGTACAGAACCTACTCGGTCGCCGGAGGAAGAAGCGAGAGACATCCTTGCTACAGCTGCTAAGAATCAGGCCGAAGATGGGCCAAACACAAGGAGGGCAGCAGTCCGCGCATGCAAGTACTTAAGGGCTATGGTCAACCAATATCATTCCACCATACAAGAAGTGCACAAGGCTTTTTTTCCTTCGAGTGTGGCCGATATCGCGCTAAAGGCTCGGTCCTTACATGAGCATAAGCTGAAGGAAAGATGTTTGTACAAGGACATAACATGTCCATTTCAGCAGGCAAATCAATAAAAACAACACACGAAAACCACAGAAACCAAACAAACACGACGACCCGCAAATCCCCCAGCCAGACTTGCGTTTCGCCAGCGGAAACAGCGAAGCAAACAGCGAAACACCAAAAACACACCAAAAACGGGGCCGGAGCCCAAACAAAACACCCACAAAATCGATTTGCCAGGGGACGCAGTGGCTTGTCCACTGCATCTCTCTCAAAAGCGTGCCAATGAATTAAGAATCACGGCATTCGGGCAAGCATGAAGGCATTAGCTAGTGTGTTTACTCAGGCAGGTGCCAAACTGTACAAGAAAACAGGGCTACCACTTATGCCTCTCTCAGCGTCCTCTCAGATCAGCTTGTCAGAGGGCCTCCATGGACAGAGTCGTCACCATATCTGTCAGTCGTAACCACGAAGCCGTGATGGTGAAAGGGCCAGGTCCCCCCCCCAGAGGGGGGGCGGCCAGTGATGGCGTACGGGAAGCATTGCAGGCCAGGGAAAAACTTCCAAAATACCATCGCAAATATCCAGCATGCCCCTAGTTTCATAGGGGAAATTGCAACCAGCAGACTGATTGGTCTCAGCCAGCGAAGCTCCTAGGCAATACTCGCAAAGCAGAGAGACATGCAAAACAAAAAACCGTTGTCGTTGTGCAGGTAGGATGAAGCCAAATGGCGATGACGCCACACTCGGACAACAAATAGGCTCCGAAAGGTAGTAAGGTTGTATTCGCAAGTTCAACCATACCAGTGCAGCCTTCGGCATCGTAGCTCTCTTTGGTGAAGGTTCGCGAAATATACAAACTACAGAACTGTTCAGAAAATTTCAGGGTGTCATCGTCCCTGAAAGACCTGCAGTGCATTGCAGTATGCACAGTAGAGGAATGTAGTGAAACCAAGTCTGTAATGCCACTCACCCACAGAATAGGCAGGCTGCAGAGTCACCACACTCCATCCACCAATGACGAACCATGTAGGCAGTCTTATGCTGCACGCGGGCGCCCCAGGCTGTCCTACAGGGAGCACCACTGGAGTGCACCAGTGAAGCTCACTGCAGCACAGTCTGGTCCATGGCATCGGCCGGCTAACTACCGCCCCTCTCGGATAGAAGCAGCCACCCATGTAGTGGACCCAGACAAAGGACATACCAAGGAGGCTCAGAAAAACAAACGAATTCAAAACCAATTAAGCAAAAGGCCCCGTCAAGGAGGTAAGGTCAAGTCAGCAAGGAAGGCAAAGCCAAAAAACGGGCCCTAGGGGCACCAAACAAATTGGCCGTCCTGAGTAACCTTAGTGGGTCACAAGAATGCTGTGTCAGTGCCTCTCAGATCAATAACCTAAGTCAACAAACTTCATCAAACCGGGCAACACTACTCACACAATCCAATCAAAGCTCCAGTTTCTTCGCACCTCAGTGGGGGCAGGGGAGGGTAGCACAGGCAGAGGAGGGCACCCTGGTCCCAACCCACCGGTAAACAGCAAAAGACGACCGACCAAAAGCAAAACCAGACAGACCGACCGATCAACAAACAACCATGAGGGGGGTGCCGGGATGGCAGAGGAGGACAGGGGAGGTTTTTTTTTTCCTCGAGATTGGCCGATGTCGCACTAAGGCACGGTCCTTACATGAGAGTAAGCAGCTAAAACATTGTACAAGGACATAAGTCCTTGAAATCAGCAGATCGATTAAAACAAACAACGAAAACCACAACCACACAAAAAGCGACGACCGCAAATCCCCCAGCCAGATTTGCGTTTCGCCAGCGGAAACAAAGCAAAAGCAAAACAGCACCAAGACACACCAAAAACGGGGCCAGAGCCCGAACAAAAACACCCATCGAATCGATCAGCTGTTGGACGCAGCGGCATCCACTGCGTCACAACCAAAAACATGCAAACTAAGAAAACGAATTAAGTATCGCAGCTGTACAGGCATAATGAAGACTCTAACTAGAGGGTTACTCTAGCATCAGACAAGCTGTACATGGACGCAGATCCACTACAAAAATCTCTCAGAGTCCGCTCAGGTCAGCTCGTCATAGGCTTTCATGGACGAAGTAGTCTTCCTCTTGACTGTTAGCTGCGATCAGAAACCTATTGTCACAAGAAGTCAACCCCCCACAAGAGGGGGGGACAGGGATGACAAGAGGAAGCAAAAGGCCCGGGAGCGGCTTCCAATCCTGCCATCGCCAAAACATGAGAAATGAACCGGGGGAGCACACCTCTAGTTTCATAGGGGAGAGACATCCATCCGTTGTATGGTCTCAGCCAGCGACGTACTAGTAGTATCCGCAAAGCTGAGCAACATGCAGACAAAAGTTTGCGTCCAAAAAATGTGATTGCATCTGCCACAGTACCAGTGCTGTCGTAGTATGGCATTCAAAGAGCTGATTCGCACGAGATACAGACTGCAGAACTGTTCGGGACATTAGGATGTCATTGTTCCTGAAGGACCCGCAGTGCATTGCAGCACGTACCAGAAACATTGGGAAATCGTAGCTAAGCTCCGGCTGACGTGCCACTCACCCATAGAGTAGACAGGCAGCAGAGTTACCACATCGTTCTGTCCAGTGACAAGCCATGCTGGCAGGCTTGTGCTGCTTCGCGGGCGCCCCAGGCTGTCCTACAGGGAGGACCACCGGAATGCACCGGTGGAGCTCGCTGCAGCACAGGCTGGTCCATGGCATCGGCCGGCTAACTACCGCCCCCTCCAGTTGCATGCAGCACCCGAAAGAGAGGACCTAGCCAGAGGACAAACCAGGGGGCCCAAAGAGGACAAACAAATTAGGGTGGGTGGGCAAAGCAGCCCCTCAAGTTAAAACAATTAAGCCAGCACAAATGACCGAAAGAAAGCGGCCAGCACGGGCAGCGACGAAACGAGTGTCCTAAGTCGCCTTAGTGTGTCATAAGGGTGCAGTGTTGATGTCCCTCCCTTCCAAAGAAAAACAACCAAACAGCAGCAAACAACAAGGAAAAACACAAAACAAAAAAGAGCAGTCACACGATGTTCCATTAATGTACCTGAGTGCGACCCCAATGCACCTGCCACGTCTATGGACAGATGCACCAGTGGCCAAGAGCAGGAGCAGGGAAGAGCAAAACAGCAAGGGGAGCAAAGGGAGCACCCAAGGCCCGCAGCAACCACAACCAAAGAAAGAGCGAAAAGGAGAAACCCACAAACAACCACGAAAAAGAGGGGGCCAGGTGGGGCAACCACAGGAGGGGGCGCCGGGTCGGCAGAGGGGGACAGGGCGGAGAAGGCTGCACACATCACATTAGAATAGCAAAGGTGCAGCTTAGCGGCGCCTAAGATGGGT